GCACTTACTATTTAATTTTGTATTACGAGGGGCATGCCGTCTGTACCTTTACAGTCGGCTACTCTCCATTGAGTTTTTCACTCTATCATTCAGAGGGGCATGCCGTCTGTACCTTTACAGTCGGCTACTCTCCATTGAGTTTTTCACTCTATCATTTAGAGGGGCATGCCGTCTGTACCTTTACAGTCGGCTACTCTCCATTGAGTTTTTCACTCTGTCTTCAGAGGGGCATGCCGTCTGTTCCTTTACAGTCGGCTACTCTCCATTGAGTATTTTACTCAACACTTAGCTAAAAAGATTAGGGCCTGGCCGCCCCTGTGCCTAACAGGCGGCTACCCTTCTTTTACTTAGCACCTACGTTCACCAAGAACTTACCAAGGCCACCGGCCGAATGATCAGACCAGGCGCCAAGCCACCTGATCAAATCTACAGAACTAATACGACCTGTCCCAACATCATAGCAGGCGTCCGACGGCATCCCTCCGGATGAAATTCGTCGCAGAGAGCAGCTCCCTTTTGGGTGGAACATTGTTCTATAAACTAATTACACGGCACCTATACGACTGTCCCCAAGGGCAACCACGTAGCCGTTTTTGAGACAAGGATAACTCTATCACTAACCAAACCAGTGGTAGCAGTTGACATCTGAGTCAGATGACCGCCTGTATTACTTGGGATAAATGCAGGGGGTACCTATTGAGTTAATAGCCAACAAACATTGGCGAATCAAGGGGTCTAGCCGGCCTCCGCCGCCTGGTACCTCTACTATTCAATCTAGAGTGTGACGAAGACTAAGTAACTCCTATGTTAACTTAATAGTCACTCAAACTTAGTATGGAGCCTAAAAGGTATGAGTCGTCCGCCTGTTTTTAACAAACAGGGACTCTCAACCACTACTCTTGCTAGGTTAAACAAATTACGAGTTAAAAGCCAACATTGGCAATAAAGGGAAACAACCGGTACCCGCCGCTTGTTATCCTACTTAATTCCTTGACGACTAGGTAATACTATTTACTTGGTCAGACCGATTGAATAAATAGTTCGAATACCGATTGAATAAATGGCCGACTGATCGTCTATCCTGGAAACAGACAACCAGTCGTCCAGGGGCATAGGCGGCGTACTTACTATTTGTACCTGTCTGCAACGTTCGGCCATACACAACAGTCGGTCTAGTGAACAAAGGGATATTAGATATGGAATACTTAGACAAATTTGAACCAAAACAAAAATTTGATTAAAAATAAGCCGGTCATTAAAGACCAGCAGAATATTCAAAACCCCGGCCCCCTGGCCGGGTAATTACAAAGCAAACGGCACGCAGGCCGTGGAAAAAATACTTAAAGCTTAAGAAGGGGGCAGTTCAGAATCAGCAGCTGCCGCCTGGTCAGCACTCTTCTTGCTGGACTCGGCTTTAGCTGCACCCTCTTTTGATGCCTTACCCCCAAGTGGCACAAGCGCCATAACCAGCTCTTCCTCCTCCAACGCACCTTCCAACGCCTCTTCTTCAGCAGCCGCCAGGATCTGTTGATTATATGTTTCCGAACACTGGCGGTACGTTCTTTCCCATGAGGCAAAGTCGGCACTGGGGAACAGTCGTTCCCAGGTCATGCGCTGGATTTGAGCGGAGTCTTCCACCATCTCCCGGACGAGCTCTTTCTTCTCTTGCTCGGCCTTTTCCGAGAGCTCTTGGGTAAGACTCTTCTCTTGGCTCACCAGGCGTTCTTTTACGTTGGCCAAAGATTTCTCCATGGCTTCGTAAGAGTGCATTTTTTGGCGAAGAGGTTTCAGCTCGGCCTTGAGGTTTGTGACGGTCGCCTCCAGCTCGTCAACCTTCTTTTGGGCCGCCTCTAACTGAGCCCGAACAGCGGCGGTAGCCTGCGCCTGATAATAAAGAAGATCAATGGTCAGTACTTCATTTTGGGCAATTTGAAACATTGCCTTATCACAGCTGGAGGCGGCCATAGCTTTTGCGGCCTTTACCTCTTTGTTTTTCCGATCAATCGGCTTGCGAAGGCTGTTGAGTCGGAGCAGGGCCTAAGTACAAAGAAAAACAGGCGTCAGTTTCCAAACAAAAAAGATAACAGGCGTCCTGGAACTCAAAAGCTCAAAAATATGCTAAGTATACCTCAGCAAGGACCCCTGAAATCCCATCAAGGTCAAGGGTGCCGGCACCCCTGACCGCCTCCCTGTCAGATGGAGGAACTACTTTAACCATGGACTTGGCTACCTCAACCAAGTCAAGCCCCTGAGGGCCGGCTGCATTAAGCGAAAGGAAAAAACAAGTTAGACCTAGTCAAGAAGGAAGCAAGTGAGTTTTTACAAGTGATTGTCCCTACTTCTAGGCGGCCCCGCCGGGGTTTTAGAAGAAGTGGCCGGCTGCTTCTCAGCCGCCACTGTTTTCCTGGAAGACCCAGGAGAGCTTGCAACAGTCGTCCTCCGGGCCTTGGGGTCCGGCTGTTGCGAGGAAGAAGCCCTTGGAGTGCCAGACTGAAAACAAAAAGAGTTAGTATATGCATAAGATAACTAAAAGAGGATGAGTTTTCGAAGCTTACCAAGGGTGCCCCCTTGTTGGGGGAGTCGGCATAAGACTGTTTCATGAGCGAGGCCCGCAACATGGCCGCCGCAGTCTTGGATGCTGTTATTTTACTCATGGCGTCAGCTGCAAGAAATAAACAGCAAAGTTAGTAAAAATCCTAAGTAAACAAGGCGTGAAAAAACAGAGTATTTGTCAGGCCGGCTACCTCTAGAGCACCGACTGCTGAGGCCACAGGCGGCCAAAAAGTACTCGTTATAGAGCCACTTGAAGCTCGGGACGCAGTTTAGGGGTACTTGCTCTCGTACCCCTGAAGTAGAGTTCACCCTAGTCTCTACTTTGAAGAGTCCTCTGTCTAGGATCTCTTTTTTAGCCTTTGGGGGAACAGGCGGCATGCTGCGGCCGCCTGCGAGAAGAGGCGGATCCCTATTCCACTTGTTAAAACGTTGGTTCAGCTCCGTGTCTGAACCCTCAATGATAAGGAAGGTGTTCCGCCAATCCTTCCATTTGTTCGCCTTACCTCTCGTCATGAGGTAACCCCTATGGCTTGTTAATTGGTACCAGCCGGTACCTCCCGACTTAGGGGTCCGGCTGAGATAGTTCATGTGGGCGAAGGCCTCAAAGCTTGGCTCCACCCCGTACATTTCGCACCCGGCCACATAGCCGAGTACGTTTACCCAAGAGTTGGGGGCTAACTGCCATAACCCCAGATCATACCCATCTAAAATCCGCTGAACAGCCGGATGTAATGGGAAGCGCAGTCCAGCTTTGATGGCCGCCACATAGCAGCCAAAGCAGCCGTCACCATAGCTGGTACCAGCCGGCCAGACGACAGTGTCTTCTGGATCCGGCACGAACAGTAAAAATTCCGGGCCCATTCTGTGGTTGGCAATAAAGCTCGCCACGTTGTCTAGCATGGTTGCGATCCAGCCCCGGGGTACCATGCAGTAGTAGGGGGTGTTTTCCTCTCTGTAAGAGGCGGACGGCTCCGCCCAATTGTCCCCCTTCTCAACTGCATGAGAAAGTCTCGCCTCTTGTAGGCGGCTATGTCTTTCTTCTGAGCCTGGAGAACTGTGGCCAGAAGAGCTGGACTCGGACTCGTCCTCTGACGAGTCCGAAGAGGACGACTCCTCCCCTCTCCCAGAGGGGCCCGCCTCCTCTCCCTTAGAAGGAGCAGGAGGAAAATTAGACATGTCAACGGTAAGATGGGAAGGGACCACCTTGGCCCCTCTCTCAGAACTGTCGGCTTGGCAGTCGCCTCGTTTCAATTCTACATCTGGCGCCTGGTCAGATGTTTCACTAAGGAGCACCCTTTGGGAGGAGCCGTCTGAGTTTGATATCATAGCAGTCTGTTTCGTTCTGGCCATCACGTTCTGCATAGACACAGATACAGTCGGACTTTGTATAAAGGGCAAAGATGGGTCCAGAAAAGGGCAGGCGGCACTCCTAGTCCTAGATTCAGCCGTCCCCGGTGACCGGCTGATCACTAACTTAGGTCGTGTCGTGTGCTTCCGTGGTGCCATTTCAAAAAATAAAAAGAAAATTAAGAGTAAGAGAACTGAGTTACCTGAACGAGTGACGGTTGATGAAGTCCTGGAAGTCCGGTGCAGTCGGTTTGTCAGAACAGGCGGTAGGCAGAAAAGGTCCGAAATGTCAGAGCAAGTTCAGGGGTCCGAATGTTCTCGCAAAGTTCTCAAGTGTGAAAATGACCGAAGTCATCACTTCCTTTTATAGGCAAAGTGAGAAGGCGAAAGGTCGCTTCCAAATTCAAAATTTGGGCGGGAAAATCTCTCGGCCGTTTGCAAGGTGACACCTGTAGCAGGCCGTCGCCTGTCACCGTGCGACACCTGTCACAGGCGACACGTGACCAGTCACGTGCCACCTGTGAGGGGCAAATGATTAGGGGATTTTTATCCACCAATCACCGTCTGACAAGTGGACCAACCAGGTTCCGCCACGGGTCTTTCACGAAGGCCAATAGGAGCCTGCCACGTGTCAATCACAGATACGTCCTCTACGGACCAATCAAGGCACGCCACGTGTCCACCCATGCCAAATGGGAAAACCGGCCATCAAGGCCCAATCCAGTCTAGAGGCCCGATCAGCCCTAGGTTTACCTTAAACCTAGAGAGTGGCACGCTTCTCAAGGCTATAAATACTTAATTAATCCTCATTAGTTAGGTAATCGAGAGATCAAGAAATCAAGCAGAGAAGAACAGAGTTATTACGGAACACCAACAACCGGCTAATCTCGCTAACGACGCAGATTACCAACACTAAGCACTCTCACCTAGAGAGATCTTATTACTTTAATTTCCGTATTAATTACTCCTTAATCAGGTACTAACTTGACCGTTGGAGGCGGAGCTCTCAGGAGTCTCCGTTATTTTGCAGGTACAGGCGTCCGGTTCCAGTCTCGGAATTGTAACTCTCCCGCAGGACATCAGAAAACCCCGAAACAGAACTCACTCAATAACCAACAATTTTTATGCAAATCTATGAAAAACAATCAATCTATCAAAAAGAAAACATGCAATTCGAGCATAATACTATAATAGAACAACATATATTCTGAACTCTGAAGGAATATCATCAATTCGAGCATAATACAATTCGAGCATAATAACTATTCAAAGAAAACAATCTATCACCAATTCGAAAATAACAAAGAAAACATGCAATTCGAGCAGGAAAAGAGAAGTGCAAGTGAAATCTGAAATTCAAAATAACAAAGAAAACATGCAATTCAAGCAGGAAAAGAGAAGTGAAATATGAAATATTGAAATTAAAGCATACCGGAACACTCGAACAGGTGGTCAGTGGCGGCCGGCGTTGGAACACTCGAACGGAACACAAGTGGTAAGTAGGAAAGCAGGAAGTAGTGAGGTGGTGGATAGGTGGTGGTGGACGAACGGATTGAGGTGGTGAGAGGGAGAGATGAGGGAAAATCTAGGGTTTTAGTGAGGGAAAGAGAAACGGCTGACTGAAACTCTGAAAGGGAAAAGGGAAAAGAGGGAAATTATTTAGGGTTTGGGTATATATATGTAGGAAAATGGGCTGAGATAATTGGGCTTATAAATTTCGTTTCGGTGTTCGGTTTTCGGTTTTTAAAATCCCAAAACCGAATCCAAACCGATATAATTCGGTTTTCATTTTCTCAAACCGATCCAAATCGAAAACCGAACAAAACCGAACCGAATTGATTATTCGGTTCGGTTTGGTTCGGTTTTCGGTTTTTATCCAAACTACTTTCACCCCTAGTAAAAAGACAAAAAAAAAAAAAATCAAAGGGAATAAAGGAAATAACACGACGACGCCAGAAAGTCAGAAACTTCAATATTCCGGCGCATTTCTCTCTCCTCTTCATCAATGGCGGCAGCAGTCTCCATTGCAGCAGAATGGCAGCTCCTCTACAATCGCTTCTACCGAAAACCCGAGATCTATTCCATGAAATGGAAGCACATTGATCTCAATCGTAACAAGGTAGCTTGCGCTCCTTTCGGCGGTCCAATCGCCGTAATTCGCGACGATTCAAAGATTGTCCAGCTTTACGCCGAATCAGCTCTTCGGAAACTCCGAATCTTCAATTCCGCCGGCAATCAGATTGCAGAAACTGTCTGGAGAAACCCTGGTGGTCGATTGATTGGTATGTCGTGGACCGAAGATCAAACCCTAATTTGTATTGTTCAAGATGGTACTGTTTATAGGTATAATATTCATGCTGAGTTGATTGAACCTAGTTTTTCGTTAGGGAAGGAGTGTTTTGAGCAGAGTGTGGTGGATTGTGTGTTTTGGGGGAATGGGGTTGTGTGTATAAATGAAGGGTTTCACTTCTTTTGTGTGCCGGATTTCTCGAGTTTCGATTCGGATAAGGGTGTGGTTAAGATGGCTGATCCTGGGCTCGAGGATCCACCGTTGTGTGTGGCCGTGATAGAGCCGAAATATACCATGTCTGGGAATGTGGAGGTGTTGCTTGGTGTTGGTGATCATGTATTGTTGGTTGATGAAGATGGGGTGCAACAGTTGGGTGTTGGAGTTGGCCCGCTTCAGAAGATGGTGGTTTCGAGGGATGGGAAGTATTTGGCTTCCTTTACTCATGATGGGAGGCTCTTGGTTATTACCTCTGACTTTGCTAGCATCATTTTCGAGTATAGTTGCGAGGTTAGTTATATTGTTTTCGTAAAATTCGAGCTTTCAGTATGTTTATTGTAAGTGTTATCTATCTGCAGACTTTATTGTTCCTGATGACTTAGTGTTCTTTTGTTTGACAAAAAGTTACTCAATGCAAGTTGTTTGGTTGGCAAAAACGTAGGAAGTTAAGACTTATTTGGAAGTTCTAGAAAAATGGGTGAACTTGCTGGTTGACAAAAGTGTTGGAAGTTGCCCTTCTCTGGAAGTTATAGTAAATATGGTGAAATTGCTTAACTAGTTGAATTGCATGTGTTAAAATAAAACAACCTTATCTTTGTGCAACCACCATTTAGTTGATTTGTGGAAATTATGCTTTAGGAATGAGGTCTTAGGCTATGGAGAATATAGTGTGTTGTAATTCGTTAGGTTGCTAAGAATATAGTGAAGGATGTTTTGAGAGTGTAAGCTTTGTTTGCAAGCTGAATGCTTTGTTACAAACCAATTTTTGATTTATGATTGCTGATGGATAGTAATATAGTTACTGGTAAGGGGCAGCCACCTTTACTTGTGTAGACAATCTTGGCTAACAGGATATATACAACGTCTTAAGCTGTTAGTTGATTGTTTCACGCTATTTTTTTGGATGTACATCTTGTACAGTATCTAAATAATTCTCGGAAAGTGACATGAAGTATTAGACTTTTAGCTTTAGGGTGCATGCTTCGCATAGGTCCGTTAGTGTGTTGTTGTCTCCATTTGAACTATATCTCTACCTCAGTTTGAGTAGAGCCGCCACCCCCCCCCCCCTCCCCAAAAGAAAAAACACACACACACACAATCTAGAATAGGATTTTTGTTGGAAGTTGGAAAGAGCTTCAAGTTGAGATCACTATAACTAGAGGTCCAAAATAAGAAACTGATAAAACCTAGAACATTGACCTTATATCTTGTGCACACAGTGCTCCATAAATGATAATTCAACTTATTCTCCCCACATCTCCCTTTTTCTTGGTTTCAGTTCCATTTCATAGAGTAGAGTCGATTCAGAGATATTATCTCATTGGTTTGATGAAGTGCATCCCGTCTTGGACCTTATTATTTAGTGTCTTAATTGATTTTGCTAAGGTGTTAAATGCTTTGTTTTTGCTGTGTTAAGGAGCATAGCTTCATAAAGATTTAGTTCTCCAGTTTAACTTCACAGAAGAGATACTAGGTGTTACTGAAACATGTACATGCCTTGTGCACACAGTGCTCCATAAATGATAATTCAACTTATTCTCCCCACATCTCCCTTTTTCTTGGTTTCAGTTCCATTTCATAGAGTAGAGTTGATTCAGAGATATTATCTAATTGGTTTGATAAAGTGCATCCCGTCTTGGACCTTATTATTTAGTCTCTTAATTGATTTAGCTAAGGTGTTAAATGCTTTGTTTTTGCTGTGTTAAGGAGCATAGCTTCATAAAGATTTAGTTCTCCAGTTTAATTTCACAGAAGAGATACTAGGTGTTTCTGAAACATGTACATGCCTTATCCATCATTAAAGTTGTTAATTTGCATAAGCTCCTTTAGTAAAGATCTTATCGAAGGTGTAATAATGAGAATAGCAGAGCTTGAACTTGGCTGATAACATTACTCAAAACAACTTTGACCAAGCTTAAATTGAGCTTGAAATATTTTTGGGCTGAATTTGTAACTTATGCTTGACTCTGAATTTATAGTGGTGAAGCAGATAAAAAGTTTTGAGATTTCAGAAAATGCTTGCAACTATTTTGTATTGCATTTCAGAAATAGAGCTTTAATACTTGTCAATAACATTTTGATATTATATGAGAAATAGATATGATACCAGAACACACTTTTTTTTTTCTCTTCTGATTTGTATTAAGTCTCTTTGATTAGATTTCCTTGCATTATGTGTTACAATTTGAAATATTTAGGATAAAAGTGAATGATACATGTGCAAAACTTTGCTTTTGCGTAAAGTTTTGGGAGAGTTGTTTTGTGAGTCATTTCTTGTGCTATTTTATTTAGGAATTATTGGAAGTTGATTTGAAAGGAGATGGTGGAGGATTAATTTTACTGATGGAAAGAGCAGGTGGGAAATATATGTCATTTTGTATTTTGTACTTTGTTCATTGGAAAACTGGATGAGAAAGGAGATAGTTGGGGATCACCGTGAGGGATAAATGATAACTTACTAAGTGTGTTAGTGAAAGAAAAATTGGAGAGATAGTAAAAGACATAATAAAGAACAAAAATCAATATTAATTTTACACAATATCAAAGATCAAGTTATGTCATAGGGCTTAAAAAGTGACAGAGTAATGCACAGACTGGTTATTCCTACGTTATGAGGCTGCTAGTTAGTTGAATGTATTCAATGTTAGTGGAGGGATATTCGATAGTGTAAAATGTTATACGTTCTGTATTGTTTTGAAGTAAGACATGTTGGATTTAGGGTAAACAAGGAGTTGATATTATTTCCGGATGGATCATGCTTTTCTTGCTGCTAAGCAGTTTCTGGTTGGATAGGGATATATGGTTTGAAACCATATTGCTAATTTATGTAGTTATGTGCACAATACTTCCCCCTCCCTCTATTCTCTGTTGGGACATTGTGTCCTAAATATGTGTACTATTCACTTGATAATCAAGTGAATTGCATTGTTTTTTCTTTATATTGGCGAAGATGGGAAACACTTATATATGCTCCTTGGCCCTTGCTTTTAAGTTTGACTTTCCAAATTTGGCTCTTGGTCCCCACATTGATGTCTTTTTCTATTTGCCCTTCTATGCAGTCTGCTCTTCCTCCAGAACAGCTGGCTTGGTGTGGACTGGACAGTGTATTGTTGTATTGGGATGATGCTCTTGTGATGGTGGGCCCATATGGAGATCCAGTACGCTACTATTATGATGAACCAATAATATTGATATCAGAATGTGATGGTGTAAGGGTTCTGTCCAACACGAATATGGAATTTCTCCAGCGTGTTCCTGATTCTACGGTGTCTATCTTTAAAATAGGAAGCACAACCCCTGCAGCTTTGCTGTATGATGCTTTGGATCATTTTGATAGGCGTAGTGCCAAGGTATCTAACTAGATTTTTATACCTTTAGAACTGCTTTTTGTGACGCTGGTTTCATTTTCATCTCTATGGGAAATTTCTGTTAGATGTATTATCTTTTGCTCCGATTAGCTAGTCTATACATATATTTGGCTTAACTTTGCTACTCTGTATTTTACTCTTAAGTATGTTAATTCAAATATAGGTCATATACGAATTCTGCATATCAAAGTTTAATATATAAAGCTCATTTAATGCCTAAGTGACATTTTAATATTCACAACAAATCTATTTTATAGGTTATATAAGCATGTGCCATATGGATCCAATTTTAAAGCACAATTCAAATAGATTTTACATATATGAAAATGAAAATAATTTAAACTTGTAAATATAATTGAAATTACAATCACTGACATGTAATTATAATTTGACTATCGATGATTTACGATCATCATATATTAGTCTTGTGCTATAGTACTCGGATCTAAAAGCTTATGAATACCTGCCATTGAGAAGCAAAGAGGA